TTGGACACTGGGTCTGCTCTATCCATTATTGCCAGCGACAGGAAGTCAGATTCTGGCATCAACCTTTTCTTGCTAAACCCCTCCCTTGTCTTGCAGTCACAAGTCACATTATCCAATTAGTGTGAAGGTCAAAAATTTACTTCCTCTTTCTTTCCTGGGCTTTTTCTACCCCCCACTCTAAGCTGTGTATTAACCCAGTAATTACCAGACAGTTTTGCATATTGTCAAAGCAAGAATATACAGTATTTGCAGCATTGACATTCAATACATTTAGAAAGATTTGCAACAGCAGTGGCCTTCGAGCCAAACTCAGGCTATCCAATATAATACTCACAGCTTTTCAAAATTCTAAGGTGTGTGTTAAGGGGGAGGCCACCCTTAAGGTGCAGCACAAGGATTTTGAAGATTTTTAGATGTGTTGGTTGTTGGGTGTGAACACATGAGTCTTATTGGACTCGATTGGTTCGAGACTCTGGGAATCCAGGTTACAGGGCTGCACCATTTGCAAACATGGAGTTTGGTAGAAGTCTGCAAGGAGTTTGCAGATGTGTTTAGTTCTGAGCTTGGATCCTATAAAGGGCCTCCAGTTTCACTATGGTTAGACCCAACCATAATGCTCATCAGGGTTAAGCCTAGGAGGGTACCTTTCACTCTCAAAGGCAAGATTGATGTGAGTTGGACAAATTGCTCCAGCAGGGCATCTAAGAACCTGTAGATTCTAGTCCATGGGAAACCCCCATAGTAACACCTCTAAAGGCTAATGGGGACATATGTATATGTGCACACTACAAGTGTACACTGAACAAGGCGCTGCAGCAGCATGCTTATCCAGTACCTGTAGTAAGCCACATCCTGGCTTCCCTCAGGGGGAGGGGGCGCATTTTTGTGAAGCTAGACCTGGCACAGGCCTATCAACAGTTGCCTGTTGATGAGGCAGCTGCTGAGGCCCAAACTATTGTAACTCATAGAGGAGCTTTCAAAGTAAAGAGACTGCAATTTGGGGTGAATGTAGCCCCTGGCATATTCCAAAGTGTCATGAAGAGCACACTTCAGGGTATTCCTGGAGTCTGTCCATATTTTGATGATGTTCTTATTGCTGGTAAGTCATCTCAAAATTTGGCAGAGAGATTAAGGGCTGTCTTTCTTTGTTAAGAAAAGACAAGTGTAAGATAGGAGTCACTTCTACTGATTTCTTAGGACTCAGGATAGATGCCCAAGGCATTTACCCTGCTGAATCTAAGTTGCAAGCTATCCAGCGGGCCCCAAGCCCTAAGTCTAAAAGGGAGCTGCAAACCTTCTTGGGGCTATTAAATTTTTACCATACATTTCTCCCTCATAAAACTGCATTAGCAGAGCCATTACACAGGCTCTTAGACAAGCAGATCTCTTGGCTGTGGACCAAAGTCCATGAAAAAAGTTTCAATGAGGATAAAATCTTGTTCACTTCCAATGCAGTGTTAGCTCATTTCAATGAGCAACTGCCTGTTTGTATTGCTTGCTATGCATCTCCCTATGGGGTAGGAGCTGTACTTAGTCATCTGAAGGATGATGGGACTCAGGTCCCTGTGGCCTATTATTCTAGGACCCTGTCTTCTGCTGAGCATAATTACGCCCAAAATGACAGAGAAGCATTGGCCATAGTGGCGGGCATTAAGAAATTTCATGATTTCTTATGCGGCTGCCATTTCACAGTCTACACTGACCATAAGCCTCTGCTGGGGTTGTTTACCACTACCAAATAGACCCCACACATCATCTCTCTTCGTATACTGAGATGGCCCATTTTCCTGTCAGCATATGATTATACAATGGTTCACAAACCAGGAAAAGAAATGGGTCATGCTGATGACCTGAGTAGATTGCCATTGAAAACATTGGAGCCTGATCCTGCTCCAGCCATTAATATTCTGTCCATTCAGGAATTGCCTGAGTCTTTCCTCAATGCTAGGGATGTGGCTGTAGAAACTGCCACCGATCACACGCTTACACGCGTGTTGTCAGGATGGCCTGACCAGTGCCCTGCTGCCGAGTTCCAAAGCTTCTGGCACAAGAAACATGAGTTGTCCACTTTCAAGGGATGCCTGTTATGGGGTAGCAGGGTAGTGATCCCAGCCTCATTGAGGTCTAGAATCTTAATCTCTCTACATGAGGGACATCCTGGTATAGTCAGGATGAAAGTGCTTGCGCGCAGCCATCTTTGGTGGCCTGGCCTCGATAAAGCCATCAAGGCCCAGGTGCATGAGTGCCAAGTGTGCCAACAGTCTCGGCCTGAAATGCCTCAGGCCCCAATTCATAGGTGGGAGGAGACTCAAACCCCATGGTCTAGGGTGCATATAAATTACACTGGGCCCTTTCAGGGGCAATTCTTCCTGGTTGTTGTTGACAGCCATTCCAAGTGGCTAGAGGTTGTTCTTGTATTCTCCACTACTACTGCCAAGACCATCCAGGAGCTGAGAGGAATTTTTGCAGCACATGGCCTTCCAGATGTTCTGGTTTCAGATAATGGTCCTCAATTTACCTCTTCTGAGTTCTAGGCTTTTCTTCAGGCCAACCTGATCCGCCATGCGACTTCAGCTCCGTTCTACCCATCCTCCAACAGAATGGCAGAGAGAATGGTACGCACCACCAAAGATGCCCTCAAGAAACTGACTTACGGTAACTGGCATCACAGGTTAGCAGATTTTCTTCTTGCACATTGCACAACACCTTGCACTGCCACAGGGAAGAGCCCTGCTGAACTTCGCTGGGGTCGCCACCTCATCACTAAGCTGGACAGGCTGGACCCTGAGTGGATGGTGTCACAGGTGTCGCAACCACGGGCACCAAGGAGACTTCAAGTGGGTGATCCAGCCTGGGGTCGTAACTATGGGCCTGGTCATTTCTGGGTAACAGCTGTGGTCTGCAAGGTCTCTGGGCTGCTGTCATATGAAGTGACCTTGGAAGATGGCCGCATTCTTCGCAGACACCTAGACCAGCTGTGTTGGAGACTGGACTATCACCCTTCCACTCCTGGCTCTGCTCTGGGGGGGGGGAGGAGGATCATAATATGCATTCTGAGGATCTCTATCACAGGTCTTCCCTAGCAGCTGATGAGGCCACGGATGTTTCATCACAATGTTCCGCAAGTTCTCGGAACAGGAATTCATTGGGCAGGGGGTCATCCCATGGATCAACAATTACTCTAGACGGGGAATCACACTGGGGGTATCCACATTATTCACACACAACAGATAGTGCTCCAGATAGGGAGACTGACCAGCGGTATCCATACAACTCACAAACTGCAAGAGAACCAGAAATACAGCAAGGGAACTGGCCCAATTCTGCAATTGCTCCCAGGAAGAAGTCCTCTGGAAAGGGGGTAAACAGAGAGGCAACTCCTGACTCTGGCACTTCAGGCACGGCCTTGGGGGCCATAGAGTACTGGGGCACTGCAGCTACCCCCATACGCTCCATCTGCTGGCCTTGGGTTCGAGGGACAGTACTCCCAAGAAAGGTCCATTGTGGAACTGGGGACTACCATCCCTCCAAGGGATGCTGGTTTGGGCTTAGAGGGTCCAGCCAGCCAGCAGATGGGCAGCTCAACCGGGTACTTGGGGCAGCAAAGTCCTGGCCTGCCAAGCCTGGTAGGCGAGCAGGTAAGCCAGGCAACAGCACCAGGGTCACCTGGGGGATTAGGGCAGCAATGCCTTGGCCCACCTAGCCTGGTAGGAGATCAGGAGGGCCAAGTAAACTCTCCCGGTCCGAGGAGGTAGCAGCGGGCCAAGTGCCCACCCAACTATCTTAAGGATTTTGTGAAGTTGCTGTCCAGTTCAAGGGAAACTACCCCTATGGGCTCTGAATAACAAAACATGGTTATTTTGTGTTATTTTGTGATTTTGGATACATACATTCACCAAAACAATGTGGATGGGGGTTTTGCCTGAAGGCAACCTCAGGTGTTCCACATTCAGTGCATTTGTTTGTTGAAACTTATAACACTCTTCCCAAGGAATGATGTGTGAGGGTGTAATGACATGTTCAATCTAGGGGGGAGGGGTGTTGTGTCCTGAGCCTGCAAAAGCAGGCTTGGGATGTTGCAATGGTCCCAGGTATTCCTGAAGCTGCCCAGGACCAGACTGAGAGGCACTAGCCTTGCGCGCATGCGCAAGGCATGAAAGCCCTTCATTTTGTTGCCATTTGGTCCGGGGATCTGGTCAGATAAAAAGAGGCCTGCATGCCTTGCTCGTTGTTGGTGTTTTGGCTGAAACGAATAAAAGAGCTGTTTTCTACAAGATGTGTCTTCATCATTTGCCATTGCTTGAAGGACTTAACAGCAACAAATCTCTGACAGTCCCAATTAGGTTGCTCATAAAAATGAATGTTCCCAGTTCCTAGCTCTTTTTTTTAGAAGCCATTACAGATCAATTATCATACTCACAAGAAATGATGCCAGCAGTATTAACACTCTCAGAAAACATTTAACCAAAAGATTCCTTTATGCATTTTCTTTTTTGGTTTCAGTTTGTTTTCTCAGTTATGGATCTAATCATTCTAAATTTCTCTCTCACTAAGGATATATTTCTATATTTACATCTCTCTCTTTGTCTGTCTGTCTGTCTGTCTGTCTGTCTGTCTGTCTGTCTGTCTCTCTCTCTCTCTAATATTTATATGAGATCATTTCCAATTCAGCTTTGTTTTAGAGAGTTACATTGATTTATTATAGTAAAAACTTATATTATGTCGAGGGTTTCATGGGCCAAATCTATTTTGCTTCCTTTGTTATAAAACATTTGTTATTCTTTAAGATGCCAGGAAACTGTTTTTTTTTAATATACATATACTTATTAACTTGCCACACAACATATGATTAGACCTAAAATTCCTTCTAAGACACTCTGCTTTTAATAGATTGAAGAACATCTAACAAATTGTCATGGGAAATTTTTTCATGCTATGTAGCATATAAATAACCATTTAACTGAGATATCCACCTTACTGTGGAACAGTTTAGAAAACAGGGAAGAAGACAAAAGGAGAAAAAGAGAAAACATGTTAAATGTTGTATCAGAACAATTTGTGACTGTAATTTGGTGGGCATATTTATTAGGATAGCTATAGAATATTAACACTTTTGAGCAAGATGTACCAATCACAGATCTCCTTATGGAAATAGAGAACTGAATATAGACTTGTTATGAATTAAATCTTTACCACATCTTCATATATTTCACCAATAAGGTAAATAAAACATTTTTAATCATGTTTTTGAGACTCTGCTGCAGGAGAATTATTCGCTTTAATGCACAGATAGTTTCCTTAAGCTTTTTTGTCTTACTTTCTTGAGAATATAACAACAAGAATCCTTTCTGAATCAGACTAAAGGTGTATTTAATCCATTTTCCATTTTTAGCAAATGTTCCTGGGAAGTTTAGAGAAGTTCCTTGAAGAAAATTCTTCCAGATTTTAAGAGACTGGTCAAAGACAAATGTAGGAAATGACCAGCCTGAGCCCAAGGGAGGGATCAAATGCATCATCAGTCACAAGTCCCTTCTTTCAAACAAGACATCTAAATCCAGACCACCTTGAATTCCTTCTACTTTTATCCCTCACTAATTTCCCTTGGCCATTTTTAGTTCAGATTCTTGTAGAGAGCTGAAGCTTGAAATAAATCTTTATACCCATTTGAACTGTCTGGATCTCCTAATTTTCTGGTACTTGACAAAAGGCTTGCCTCTGAAATGGATGTTCAGTTTTACTTTTGTGGTTAATAGCAATTGAACAAAAAGAATGCCATCTTTTTTATGATAATTTGTATAATTCCAGAAGCAACAGAGATTTAGATATGATAATCTTACTAAAACACATATTAAATATTTTGTTTTAATTTTTCTTAAGATGCAGCTAATGGGCAACAAAGAGAATCAGAATATGTCAAGTGTGACAGAGTTCATTCTTTTAGGATTTGGGGATCTCATTAAACTGGAATTTCTTCTTTTCCCAGTGTTTTTAATGATTTACCTGATGACCATGACTGGGAATCTTCTTATTGTCCTCTTGATTGTCATTGATGGACATCTTCACACACCCATGTATTTCTTCCTACTAAACCTATCTTTACTGGAATCCTGCTATAGTTCTGTCATTTTGCCTAAAACATTATTGTGTCTCTTGACCGGGAAAAAAAGTATATCCCTAAATTCTTGCTTCATGCAGTATTATTTATTTGCTTGTCTGGGAGGGGCTGAATGTTATTTTCTATCTGTCATGTCTTATGATAGATATTTAGCTGTATGCAAACCACTGCACTACTCTACACTCATGAACAATAGATTGTGTCTGCAACTTACAATTGTGTCCTGGGCAAGTGGAATATTAGTTAGTACAAGCACAACCTTCTCAATAGCTTCCTTAACCTTCTGTGGACCCAATGTAATTGACCACTATTTCTGTGATTTATCCCCATTCATAAAAGAAATCTCTTGCACAGATACATATATTGTAGAACTAACTGCATTTACATTTGCTTGCACCTTTACCTTTCCTCCTTTACTTCTCACATGGATGTCCTACATTTTTATTATTTACACAATTATTAGAATTCCATCTACTACTGGAAAGCAGAAAGCTTTCTCTACGTGTTCCTCTCATCTCACTGTGGTTGCCCTTTTTTATGGAACCCTCATGCTTGTCTATATGCTTCCACACTCTAGGAATTTCAAACATCTAAAGAAAATCTTCTCTCTCTTCTATACAGCACTGACTCCTCTGATCAACCCTCTTATTTATAGCCTCAGAAACAAGGAAGTAAAGGCAGCCATGTGGAAAGGTCTCAGGAAATTTGTCATACACTTGAGAAATTCAAGACTCAATTTTTGTTCAATATCAAAATGAAAGTGGCTGTGATTCAGCAATTATTTTTCAGATGTAAATTATACAGTACATGTATATGTGCATGCAGAGAGATAGATGACAGAAGAGAGATAAATAAATAAACAGGCAGGCAAACAGACAGACAGCAGAGTGGTGTTTTGTGTGAATGGAAAATAAGGTATTTTTCACACTGAATTTGGGAATCAGTTAATATATTTTCAGATGGGACATATTAAGTGAGAATAACTCTTTATTAATTGTGTTCACTGTAAATCCCTCCCCAACCTGATCTTAATTTTAATTGCTTCTATTAATGGCTAATAGGTATTCATCTGTATGTATTGTATCTACTGACAAATGATAATTTTCTCTCTCTTACACAAGATATAAATATTATCTTTTATGATCTGTATTGTCTATATTTTGTGTGTGAGCATTGTTTATGTATGTGCCTGTTTATCCAATCATCCATCTCTGTAAGCTATTTGTGTATTTAAAAAATAAAGCATGGATAAAAACCAAATTCTATGACAATTCTGTCTTTTATTTGCTGTTAACTGGTAAAATCAATGCAACTATTTTTAACATACCCATAAACTGCAATAAAATTGATTCTTATTTCAAAGAAAGAAAGAAAGAAAGAAAAAAGAAAGAAAGAAAAAAAGAAAGAAAGACTATCACTATAACATGAGCAGTGCTTCTAGTCCAGTTATTGATAATAAGTTCTCTTATAAACAGTAGAAATTGCCCTAAAAATAAAAATGCACAATGCTGATTTGCATTTTCCTTCCATTTTTGTAGCCCTCAACACAAATACAGCAATGATGAGAGTATGTAGGAATACACTTGTGGCAGTGTTAGGTATTGAAAAGCCAGCATTGAAGATTGAAGCAATAGAGGATGTACAACATTACTACAAATTCCAGGAGAATTTGAATTGAATTAAGCTGAATTAAGAAAAAAAGTAATTCCATTCTATAGAATTTTATGAAATGTATAAAAAAATGAAAAATGAAAATGTATATTCCTAACCGACCTAATATGCTTATGAGGTGAGAAACATAATCCCTGCTGTCCTAGAAGGGATTAAATAACTGTGATATTTGATTTCAGTGTTAGGAAACTGATTAAAATATCAGAACAAACTGACAATAAAAGCTTAAGAAGCCAAGGTTTGAAATGGGTATTTAGTTAGGGATGACATACCACTGAATTTAATAAAATGAATAATTTAGATGTAATGTACAAAAGATCTCTTACAATGATATAATTGGGGAAAAGGATATATAAAACAAACAAACAAAAACCCAACAATATTTAAAACTTAGGTTTTTAAAAAATCTATCAGAGAGAAAATGTGCTTCCAAAGTTAAAGCAATTTATCTTTCCTTTGCACCAGTGGATTTCCATAGTACTTAAAACAAGGTTTGGGACAGAGGGATCCACAGGAGAATGCTGTCTTCATGAGAATGATGACAGCAGCATTGTGGCATTGCATTACAAGATCAGCCCCTTTTTTGAATCTGTATGACAACAAATAAAAGTATAAAAAAGGCAAGGTTTGGGTCACAATGCCAAACTTCTGCCCAACCTTTAACTCCTATGAATACTCTGGATTGAGAAATGGTTGTGAGTCATCACTCAACCATTAGATTTGTCAGCAAGCCATCCTTTGGAAAGAAATGGGATCTGAAATGTTTCAACAACTAATCTTGCTTTGCTATTCCCGTTAAACTTACCCAAATTTCAAACAGAGAAAATAGGATGGATGAAAATTGACCATTTTGCTTTTGATTTTCAGGGTCATGATCCCAGAGTATTTGGAGGGTCAAAAATCAGGTGCTGGATGCCTTCATGTAACCCCCAGTAATTATATAGCCTTCTTTTGCTCTGAAATAATAGGAAGCCTATGTATAAACTCTTCCTGTTTGTTTCCAGATCTTAAGTTAAAACCAGAAATCTAATTTTTGGGGGGAGGGAGGGGCTGCTGAGATCTCTTTCTACTTAAGACATAAAATCTATTATTACTGTTGCAATTTATTATTTTTATTCTTGGATATTTATTTTATCTGTGCTTTTAATTGTATATGACATTTATAAAATCCATGATTCCCAATGATATTCCTATCAGCTGACAATTTTCCAGTGGTCTCACTGATTCTATTGGAACAATCCATCATTTCCTTTTCTTGTTTTATTTATTCCTCCATTTGTTGAGAACTTTGACTGTTTTTTTTCTTCCTTAATCCTGTTGTCTTAATAATTATCTAATTATTCTAATTGTCCAAATTTTATCTATCTATAGCTACATTTTCATCTGACAGAAATTTGGGGAGGTTTTTGTTTCTGTTTTGGTTTCTACCTTTATTTCTCATCTCATCCAAAAGGTCCTCAGGGCAGCAAAAGTGTTCTTATATTTATTCTATATTCTGGCCATGTTTTCCAAGTCATCTCCTCTGGCCCACCTGTTTTTCAAGTTATTATAGCACAACTGAAATCAACCAGCTGAGAATTGCCATTTTAACTATGCTGATATGTGCAATAACCAAGCAGCTTCTTTCACAGTCATTAAAAATATTTATTGTGTTCTTAGAGTAAGATATTATTAAGAGAATTTTAGTTCCAGGGTATTATATGTTGCATAGAAGAGCCTACAACACTTATGGATTTGATGGAGTTACCGTAATTCCCAGCTTTCCATCAAAAGATGACATTGAGTTAGCTAACAGAATAATTAATCAAATTATTTATCAATAATTAGATACTAATTAATGCCTGTTTGTCCCTATGTTATTCAAAGGAGAAAAAAACCCTCTGGTTGATATAGACATTCTTGGTATATAGCTTTTGTTTCTCAGCAGCTTAAGTTTTTCTCTCCATTTAATTTTATGTCCTGACAAATTAAAACAATATTGGAATCTTATGCTATCAATGGATAACTTACATCTCCTCATTTCTCAGTCCATTAAACAATATGTTTGTGAATAAAATTAGACTGGAAAATGCTTTTCTAGAATGGAAGAAAAGGCATGGAAAATAGAATATTATCATTCTTACTTTATTCTAACTTTTTGAGAAGGCAAAAGAGGAAGATTATGCTACTGTTCGTGTAGGTTTTTCAGGAGAGTGCAGTTCTCTTTCTCCTTTAGTATGAAACAGAAACTGTAATATTTATATAATTTATTATGGAAACATCCAAATTAGACCAAGTTTATTTATTTTTCTTCTTTCAGACATGAAGACATTAATTTCAGTTGAAAAAGTTTACTTGAATAACAGAATTTATTCTGCAAGATTTTCGGATCAACAGGAGTTTCAAATTCTATTGTTTGGTGCAATATTAACTATAGTAAGTATAATGAGAAATTGTTTTGTGTTTGTTTAAATAGGAACATGCCTAATTTTGCATATGCCTAAGTTTTACTTCCTCATAAATTTGTCTTTCTTAGAGTTTTGCTATACTTCTGTCACAGTGCCTAACTTTATCTACTCTGAATGCCTTATTCAGATGTACCTCCAAATGCAGATGCAGTCAACTGAGTGAAAAAGCAAAACCTTTCTGTTTGCTCATCCCATCTTTTGGTAGTCTTTTTCTTCTAAGGAACAAGCAATGCAATATATTTAGGAACACATCAACTTCAGAAAAGAAGGATGGTTGCTGCCCCTCTATTCTCTTATTAACTACCTCTTCTATTAGTACTAATTATATTTTTTGCCTTTTGCTTTCCTTTTTCTTCATCTCGTTTTACATAAGCTTTCTGTATCTCCCTCAATAATTTATTCATGGCTTGTATTCCAATTATCTAATTTTTGCAATTTCCTCCTTATGTCAGGCCAAGATTTGGTTACAAAATTTACTTTTAATAATCCTTGTGCAACTGGATCGTCAGAATTCATTCCATAATATTTTTACATTTGATCTCTTAAGTTTTGTAAAAAGGCAGAAGGGGTTTCATCTTGTTCTTCTTCAAAAGCTTTTGTGACTTGGGCACTGCTACTTTTATTTTGTTTATAATCATGTTTCTCAAATCTACCATATTAACTCTACCTCCCACAGTGTTAGAGTCCCAATTTGGATCCTGAAAGGGGAATTTCTGATCTACCAGTATATTTACATTTCCTTGGCCTGCAGGATGTAATCTTTCCCATTCTGCCATAGCTGCCCTTTGTCATGGTTCCCGCAGACAGAGATGAATAAAGCAGAACTCCGAGGCTTGAAAATTCCTCAAAGAATATGTTTATTAGTTACAAAGTATCGGCACAATCAAAAATGAAACCAAATCTGGATACACCAATAACAATATCCAATTACAAAAGTATAATGTCCCACCCACGAAACTATGCAAGCAACTATGTTCCCCAATATATTCATTTGGCTGGCTTTTTTATACAATGCCCAGTCCCTGGTCACAGGAGCAGTAGATGACTTTGGTTCCCACAGGACAGATGATTATTTTGACTAACGAAGCACCTGGGCAACCCCCATCCCTCAGTTCTATGTGGAAACTTAGAATGAGAAGAAAAAATGGCTGCAGCCACGCTCATTGTAAAGTTGACACTCTTCTTATTAAATTCCTTTCCTCTGTACTAAATAAGATAGTTATAAAAACAGGGCTTTTTTTCTCATAGAACGCCGAGAACGGAGTTCCTGCACCTTTTTGGGATGGAACCTTGTAGGGTAGGCAAGGCGGGTTGTATGATGTGTGTGAGTTCCAGCACTTTTTTTTTTTTTTAGAAAAAAAGCACTGGTTATAATAGTCATTAGTTCACTTCAAGTGTAAAAATTAGTTCCTAAAAATTTATCAAATTGGTCAGCTACATCTATAGGATCTTCTATTAGATTCTTAAGTTCCTTCTTAAAATTTCCAACTTCTCCTGTACTTAGGGGACTATTTACGTATCCTATTCTTAAACTACCTCCTTGTATTACTTTTCATAATGAAAACATCAATATTTCAGATGTTTTACACAATTGTGAACCTACAGTTGGGTTAACTTTCTCACAATCTCCCCTAACTTCTGGGTTATATGGAGGGGATGTTTTATGTATTTCTTCAGCCTGAAAATTCTCTGGATTCATTGTAAAATATCCAGGTGACCAACATAAAGCATAGGCAGATTCCTCTGGATCTACTGGTTCCTTTTCATTTTGTTGTTGTTGTTAATTGCGAAGTCGTGTCCGACCCATCGCGACCCCATGGACAACATTCCTCCAGGTCTTCCTGTCCTCCACCATCTTCTGGAGTCCATTTAACTCACACCTACTGCTTCAGTGATTCCATCCAGCCACCTCATTCTCTGTCGTCCCATTCTTCTATTGCCCTCAATCTTTCCCAGCATTAGGCCCTTCTCCAGTGAGTCCTTCCTTCTCATTAGGTGACCAAAGTATTTGAGTTTCAACTTCAGGATCTGGCCTTCTAAAGAGCAGTCGGGGTTGATCTCTTCTAGGACTGACTGGTTTGAATGCCTTGCAGTCCAAGGGACACGCAGGAGTCTTCTCCAGCACCACAGTTCAAAGGCCTCAATTCTTTGGCGCTCAGCCTTTCTTATGGTCCAACTTTCACTGCCATACATTGTAACTGGGAAGACCATCCTTTTCATTTTCATAAATGTTAATGCTTGTCTAACCCAGTCTTCCCATAATCCATATTTGGGCCACCATACAGCAGGGCCCTTAATAGGGTTTTGGCCATTTGGAACAACAGTATTGTACCATTTTCTCTTTATCTTTATTCCTAGTACATTCTGCTCTTTTCTAGTTTCTTAATATTCCACCAAAAAGACTATCAGGTGGAATGTTTTCTGATACCTTGGTGTCATCTATGGTCCTCCAACTGCCCCTGTTTCTGATGTCAGAGACCACACTCAATCATTATGTGTAACCAAACCACTTGCTTGGTTCATCTCTGTCTGTTTCCCCTGCAGGAAGGATGGAACCGCAGATCAGAACTCCACAATCACTTCATATGTAATTGTACATCTCAAACCCCTCATCAAGCTTGGGCTCCGCACATGCAGGCCTACCCAAGCACCAAGGTAGTTCTTTAAATAGTCCCCTTGTTTCTCACCTTGGTCCGTGCACAGAGTTGCCCAGTTGATTTCCTTTGGACCTTTGGACATCAAATGTCCACCTCTGGAAAAGAGTTTTTGCTAATTTTTGGCACCATTTGCAGAAATAGGCAAGCAACAAAGCAACAAAGGCAATCTGGTACCAAAAGTAGAAAAAGTTTATTGATATTTTTACAAATATGGGTGCACATGAGGTGGACCTAGATCAAAGCATGCAACTTGCTTATACCCTGATGCTCAATTCTGTTCTGGTTTCCCATTGGCTGATACTAACAAGCCCACAACCTATCCGGAGAGCCTATTAACAAAAACTCCCTAACAACATGGTACCACTAACTGTTGTTTTTCTTACATAAACTAGTTATTTTTGGAATGTATCAGTTAAGCTATTGCTCAGAAAGTATCACCACCCCTTTTCCTTATCTTTTTTTCAACTTTTCTGAACCATATTGTTAAATGTAAGAACAATATTGCTTTAACTAATTTTCAGAAAGTCCCTTAACTTTCTAATAGTTTAGAAGCAGTACTTCATATTTCACAGTAGCAGTTGAAATTTATCCATTTCTGTGTCTTTCCTCTTTGTTCTGAATATGGATGCACAGAAAAAAGAATACCTAGATTTATAAATTCTTTGGAGAGCTATTAAATGAAGTTGTAGACTTCTTTCAGAATGGTACTGTGGTATATCTCATGGGAACAACCAGAGAAACCTGAAAATCTGAGCCTCTAGCAAAATTATTTAAATTACTCAGGGAACTCATTATAATGATTTTTCCATACTTTTCTTTAAAAAGCACTTAAAATTATTTTTAGTACTATGAAAACATCAAGCAAACCACAGTGCAACAGTGAGTAATAATCCATTGATACATAACTATTTGTACAGCTTTAAGGTGGCATAGATGCAGTGCTTTTTTTCTAAAAAAAAAAAAAAAGGTGTCTGAACTCACACATGTCATACAACCTGCCTTGCCTACTCTATAAGGTTCTATCCAAAAAAGATGCCGGAACTCCGTTCTGAGTGTTCTATGAGAAAAAGAGCCCTGCATAGATGTACTAACATACATGAATTAATATTACAGATTGTAATATACGTTCATGGAGTGAACTCCTCTGATCACATTAGGTTAGAATTACTCTATGATCTGAGCACATTTCACAAAAAAATTAACCAAATGTTAATAGGACACCACTGATTATAGTGATTCTTGAATCACTTCCTTTCATATCAATGCAGAATTTCCAGGGTTGAAAAAGATAGTGATTCTCTTTTAAGAAAAGGAACAGCCTTATCAATTACATTTGTCTAATAAAAATTCATAGAATTTTGGATTTCTCCAATTATCCAGTGAACTAACTATGAAACTTTTTGATGAATTCATTCTATTCTCCTGAGAATCTATCCTTACTAGTTCCTTCGATTGTTTAATAAGAGAAGTATGTGTACCAATGAAAAGATTTCATAATGGCTGAAGGAGATGGAAGCTTGTGAAGGAAGGTAGGTAAATCATTTAGTTCTTCTGTATGAAACTTTATAGAAATAGAAAAAAATCAGTTCCTGCAGTACTGTAGGATACAGACTGATGTTCATATTTGCTGGTGTTATGTAACAGAAAGTAGCATTGTTTGGAGGGAGATTATCTACTCATATCATTGTACTTTAAACATTAGCGATTACTTTAAATATATGATATGATTTTAGCTTCATAAAGAGAAATGTTAAATGATATATAATCAATGTAACACAGCCAGCTTAATATTTCTTTATTTCTTCATTCCTTCGCTCCTGCTTCTAGAAATGTCTAGACTCTAGAACAGACATGTCAAACTCATGATGTCACGTGATGTCGTACAACGTATCGAGACAGTTTTGCCATTGCCTGCAATAGGGTGGGCACAGCTTCCATGTGACGCATCCGGCCCGTGGGCTGGCAGTTTGACACCCCTGCTCTAGAAGATTTATATTTAACTGATTTCACTCATCATTAGCAAAATATGAAGACAAAGTAATGGAAAAAGGTTTGGTCTTAATGTATGGAAATCTTTGAATGTTTGAAAAAATGAATAGAAATGTTCTAAGGGCAGCACTTTGGAGACATTTAAGTATTAACAGAAGCAACAACATTAATAGAAGCAACAACAGAAGCAATAACATACTAATTAAGCTAATTTACTGTTCTACAAAAGCTCTATAAAAAAGCAAAATGACTTAATATATTGACCTGTTTCTTTTCCTTTTGTTTTCAATGGTTGTCCTTAGGATGGGGTGGAAAAACATCTTCAGTCCCAAGAATGCAGTTATTTCTTCTCTTTCTACTGTGTAAAAATCAGAATGTGGCACTCATTTTTATTGCTTTCTTGAATCTTGGATGTAGGTTTCTTATCACCGTATTACATTTATCTATAAGTGGCTCCTGTTTATGTTTCAAAACCTCTGCGTGGCCTCATATTTTTTACACCCTTTAGACTGAGTCAAGTTAATGAAAAATCCTCCCTGTTGACTTTAAATTTCTGTAGAGGACATCTAAGGAACAGAAGTGCATTTTAATTTGGAAAACAGATGTGATAGAAGAGAAATTATTCTTTTGTTTGAAAAATGCTAAATTAAGAAATCACAAATCACTAATTTTTTTAGAAGGATTGCTTGGAATATGTCAAATTTAAATTAGGATTTAATTATACCAGAATAAAAATCCTTAATGTACTTTCTGTTTGTGTCACAAATTACTTGGTTTATTGTACATATTTTTTTAAAAAAATATTATTGTTATTGTGGTCATCTTCCAGATAAAATCATCTATGGAAAACCAGAATAAAAGTACCAGGTTTATTATTTTGGGATTTTCTGGTAATGTGGAAATGCAAGTCTTGCTTTTTATATTGTTTTTGATCATGTACATCATGTCACTGTTGGGGAATGCATTGATAAGCATTGTCATTAGACTTGAGCCTTCTCTTCATATGCCAATGTGCTATTTCATTGCCAACCTATCTCTTGTGGATATTTGCTATATATCTGTCACTGCCCCTAAAATGCTAGTCAACTTCCTTTCAGAGGACAAATCTATCTCCTTGGTTGGATGTGCCGCCCAACTATATTTCCTTCTCTCACTAGGAACTACAGAGTGCTTTCTTCTTGCAGCCATGGCTTATGATCGCTTCTTGGCCATCTGTAATCCATTGCGCTATCCTTTAATCATGAACAAACAGCTTTGTGCCTGTCTGGTAGCTGGGTCATGGGCCAGTGGGATTTTGCTTTCACTAGGCCAGACAACTTTGATATTTTCTTTGCCTTTTTGTGATGAACATTGGATCAACTATTTCTTTTGTGACATCCCACCACTCTTGAAGCTAGCCTGTGGAGATACCTATCTAAATGAAATCACAGTCTTTATGGCTGGGCTGCTAATCACTCTGATCCCATTATTGCTAATCCTGTTCTCCTATCTCCACATAATCAATACTGTGCTAAAAATTGCATCTGCAAATGAGAGGCAGAAAGTTTTCTCTACCTGCTCCTCACACATTATTGTCATCACTTTGTTCTATGGATCTGCTAGTGCAATGTACCTGAGGCCCAGATCTACCTATGCTTTTGAAACAGATAAATTTCTAGCTCTGCTTTACTCTATTGTAACACCAACTTTGAATCCTATTATTTATAGTTGGAGAAACAAAGAGATAAATGAAGCTCTCAAGAGAAGGTTTGCTTCAAAACTGTTCCCTTGTAGAAGATGATTAAAAGTCATAAAGTTAATCCAGAAAAAAATATTTTGTGGTGATAAGTTTTTTTTCAGCGTCTTATTTTTTGCAAAAATGTCACATATAGTTCAACAACATCTATGTTTTGTTTATATTTATAGTGGAATGTATTTTCATTTACTGTTTTTCTTAATGTGCATATTCTTTGCTAATTTTTCTCCTAATCAATTTTTATATTATTTTCATCCCTATGTTATTTTTTCCTGTAAGATATTCATAAGTATATTATATTTGTACTTGCCATTAAGATGTCTATCCGTATATTAATAATAAAGTCTGTCAAGTTTAACTTTGGATGTTAAATGGCATGGCTGTTTAAGCTAATTAATACTCATTTGGAAGAAACTGTATTATGTCATATTTAAAAATTCATGAGAACATGGATAATTCTGGCAAAGCTTAATTCTTTAAAATAATAAAGGAGCTGGTAAAATCTTTGTAGAATGAAATATGTTTCTCATTTCTTTGATAAGTTAAATGCATACATTTACTAATAGCACAGGTCACCTTATTTTTTTATATTCTATTTACTTGCACATCATTCACATACAAATAATTATTATTTCAACAATATTTCTCTTTTTACAATTGTTAACCCCTCTAAATAAAATTAGCACATGAACAAAACTACTGCTTTTTTTCCATTCCATTATTTTCTCTTCCTATGCTGTGGATTCATGGCTGAACCCTAAACATTTGATAATAGCATTTCCCACATAAGGGATGAAAATTTCTGGAAGATTTACAAGGGACCAAGATTCAAGAAGAACCAAAGTCAATAACAATTTATCTTCACATGACATTGTTTTCTATTTTTATTATTATTATTATGGATCATTGCACAGTCAGCCAGATGTTCAGATTGGATTTGGCATTTTGTCTACCTATCGAGTCCTTACCCAGGACCTGGGATAGGCAGATGTGGATGTTTGATGGTATTACAGATATCGTCGCAGGATGGAAGCAGTTCATAATAAGGCCGCCTTTTGCAATTGACTAATAGCGAATTTGTCAATGCCAATTGTGTTCAAGTGGTGCTCAGTTGTTTTGGGATTGCACCTAAGGAGCCTATGACTATTGGTACTACCCTTGCTTGCTTTTGCCACAGTCTTTCTATTTCTATTTGTAGGTCTTTGTATTTTGTTATCTTCTCCAGTTCTTTCTCTTCTATTCTGCTATCTCCAGGCACTGCCACGTCCACTATCCAGACTTTTTTGTCTTTCTTATCGACAATTGTTAAGTATGGGGTGTTATGTTGCAGGTGCTTGTCTGTTTGAATTCTGAAGTCCCAGAGCAGTTTAATTTTATCATTTTCTATGACTTTCTCTATTTTATGATCCCACCAGTTTTTGCTTACAGGCAAATGATATTTTTTGCAGATCTTCCAATGCACCATTGTTGCTACTTTGTCATGCCGATGCTTGTAGTCAGTCTGTGCAATCTTCTTGCAACAGCTTACCAGGTGGTCCACTGTTTCTTCAGCTTCTTTGCATAGGCGGCACTTACTGTCTGTTGCTGTCTTCTCAATTTTGACTTTATATGCATTTGTCCTTAAGGCTTGGTCTTGTGCAGCCAGAATTAGTCCCTTGGTCTCTTTCTTCAATTTTCCTGCTCTTAGCCATTGCCAGTCTTGTTATTATCTGCTTTCCCAGCTATTTTTTTAATGTATTGGCCATGTAGTGCTTTGTCTTCCCATGCCTCTATTCTGTTCTTCATTTGGTCTTTCTTGTAGGCCAGTTTGGTCTCTCCAGTAGTCAGTAAGCCTTACTGATATACTAATTTCAGTGCATCTTCATCATTGTTCTTCAGATATTCTTCCAAAGCCATTTTTTCTTCTTCAACCATCTGATGTACTTGTAGCATTTCACGTCCACCTATTTGCCTTGGTAAATAAAGTCTATCAATGTCACTGCGTGGATGAAGGGTATTATTCATTGACATTATTTTTCTTGTCTTCCTATCCATTGCTTTTAGTTCTGCTTGAGTCCAGTCCACTATTCCAGCTGTGTACCTAATGACTGGAGTTGCCCAGGTGTTGATTGCCTTTATGGTATTTCCTCTATTGAGTTTGGACTTTAAGATCTTCTTCACTCTCTTGATGTATTCACCTCTAATCTTTTTCTTGACTTCAGTATGCTTGATATTGTCAGCTTGAAGGATACCCAAGTATTTGTAGTACTCTTCCTCATCCAGACTCTTAATGTTATTTTCGTGGGGCATCTTGATTCGTTCAGTTTTCACTATTTCTTCTTCTTCTTCTTCTTCTTCTTCTTCTTCTTCTTCTTCTTCTTCTTCTTCTTCTTCTTCTTCTTCTTCTTCTTCTTCTTCTTCTTCTTCTTCTTCTTCTTCTTCTTCTTCTTCTTCATCATCATCATCATCATCATCATCATTATTCCTTTCCCAATTTTCAGCACTGTTACAACTTGAGAATGGATCTTCAGCAATCAATATCCTCTGAGTTTCTCTCTGTTCTGGTTGAAGAGATAGTTATGATCTAGGGACATGGTCAAGGCAGACCTAACATAAATTATTGTTTAAAAATTGTTTTTATGGAACATTTGAGGAATGCAGGTTTTTTTTCCTATGCAATGATATAGTACCATTATAGTGTGGTGCTATATGAGTGCACAGATCACTATAGAATCATTATTTGGTGGTCTGTACAGTTGCATAAGATGTTTTGTTTCCCAATATGCAGAAGAAATCTGCAAAGAAAGCAATATTATAGACTTAGAAAAGCTACAGAAGAGACAGCAAATTTTATACTCAATATCAATATAAGTGAAGGCAATAAAAATGAATTACTCTTTATCTTCATTAATCTTTACAATGAAATATTCAGAATTTCCTTCATCCCCCCCAAAAAAAAATTGGAAGAGAAAAATTTATATCCTATATGACTTTTTTTTCAATTACACTGCAGAAGAGTTGATGAAAAGTAGCTTCCTTGAGGTAGCTATTTGCATAGAAAAAATAACAATGGAATGTTATTATTGAAGAGGTTAATTAGGTATATCATGCTATTTTTAGCTGCTTGTAAAAATCTCCTTTTAATTCCAGAAATTTTATATATTATAAAATTCCTTGTGAAAATGCGACATTTTTGACATTGTTTAGGTTTTTTTTTTAAAAAATGGATTTTTTAACATTCTACCTTCAATACTCTATCTATAGTGAGTAAGTACATTCTTATTGTGAGAAGTTTTATATCAAAATATATTTTATTTTTTATACTGTTTTCATGTTCCCTTAAAACATTAACAAAATCCACAATGGACTGAGAATCAGCATCTCCACTAGATAGAATGGACTTTTGGAAGCAGTGTACATTCAGCTGGTTCTCCAAACTCAATGAAATTTAGCTACTGGTTCTTATGAACTGGTGTGAACTGGCTGAATCCCACTACTGCCTATACACACACACTCCACACCAGGAAAAGCTCCCCTATGAAAATATATTGCTGTACTTCATTTCTCTGCAGCTGCCTCTAAAAGCAAACACTTTGCTTCTAGGAATAAATATTTCTTCTTTCCTCACAGTTGTATGAATCTCATTTTTATTTATTCTTGTGTAACCCTGTCTCAGGTTGGAACCCAAATTATTCTTCCTACATTATCATTAAAACATAACTAGATTAGATTCTACAAAATTTAATAGTAACAAGAACAATAACTTAAAAAAATAAATTATATGTGTGATATAGTCAATTTATGATTTAATTTTTGAGATTTAAATGTATTTCTGAAATGACCAAAACTGAAGTGCAGTTATAAAGCTATTAATTGATATGATATTTTTATTTTATTTTATTATTTATTTTATTTATTTGTATCCAACCTTTATTATTTTTACTAATAACTCCAACATATTTTTGTATCCAACATATTTTCTTCTCCCGCAAAAATAATCCTGTAAGGTGAATTGAGCTGGGAGAGTGACTAACTGAAAGTCACTTAGCCAGCTTTCATAGCTAAGACAGGTCTTGAACTCACATTTTCCTGATTTCTAGCCTGGTGTCTTAATCACTAGAGCAGTGGTTCTCAACCTTTTTAATGCCGCGACCCCCAACTGGTCGTAAGTCGAGGACTACTCAACCGGTCGTAAGTCGAGGACTACTCAACTGGTGCAGCACCGCTTGCAGAATGGGACTTTTGGTGGGCTCAGTAGGACAGAGACATCTTGGACAATTCCTATTGGCTTTTGAAAGCCAATAGAATTAGACTCTATTCAAGAGAGTCTATTCTATTGGCTTTCAAAAGCCAATAGAATAAAAGGGAGTAGCACAGCTAAGGAAAAGGGGAAAAAAATGGCGGACTGCATTGTTCGGTGACCCCCGTGAAATGGTCATTCGACCCCAAATGGGGTCCCAACCCACAGGTTGAGAACCACTGCACTAGAGCAAACTGGTTCTCTATCATAAATCTCTATGTCTCCAAGTAAATATCTTATCATAAATCATGATATGATTTACAATATTTGTTCAACATATTCATATCCACAAGAAGCTACAAGATGGTTTGAAGATGCATTGGAGAATAAGCTGCAGGGTTCCCTCAAGGATAAGTCAGATTTTGTTTGTTTGTTTGTTTGTTTGTTTATACAGTGGAAAAATACCTTAAATAGTTTATAAAAATTACTCAAACTATTTCTTAGCTAAATCTTATCAATTGCATATATATTCTGCTAAACAACATTTATTTTAAGAATTGTGTCTATTGTGACCAACTGTTCTTTTAAAATATGTGTCAGAGCTTTGCTTAATTAATTAATCAGCTTGCAATATTTTAAAGGAACATTCCTTGTTTTGCTTTTTCCCAATAGTTCCCAAGCTGTCTTCAGTTAAATTCCTGGGAACTTTCCTTGCAGCTATTTTTTCCATTGCCATGCATTGCAACGTATAAACTAGAATATGAAGCCCCAAAGGTCTATTTAAACAACCATCTACTATACTATAACCCCCACCCAAGTGGTTATTCTTTAGTTTTTGTTTTTTTCTAGGAAAAGCATCTTAATTATTCTGAACATCCCTTTAGTAGACGGTCAGAAAAAAATGTTTTCCTTTGCTCCTCACACCTCATTTGAAGAATCACTGTTTTATAACTCAGTAAGTATTGTTTACCTAAGTTCAAAAATTAAGGAATCAGTGGACATCAACAAACTCTTCTCATTTCTCTCTACTATTTTTGTTCCTATATTAATCCCCATAATATACAATTAGCACAGGCACACACACACACACACACACACACACACACCACCGGGGCAATGTACTCTCCCCATTAATCTTTTCTATATATACCAATGACTGCATCTCTAAGGATCCCTATGTTAAAATACTGAAGTTTGCAGATGATACAACAGCCATTGATCTCACTTGAGACAGTGAGGAATCTGCATATAGACAGGAGGATGAA